AGTCAATTACCAAAATTTGGATGATTTTGAATATTCACTTGAAAAGTTATCAAAGAAAAACATTTTTCATTTTGTAACTTCGAGGGCCCGTTACTTGGTAACGAAGGATTTTAGGAAAAAAAGTTATATGAAGTACTGGTGATATTTTGACCCCATCTATACATTCCCGAGAGGAAAAGAGGAAGTCCAGGGACAGAACAGCAGAAGGATATATCCGCTAGGGCCAGGAGCACAAAAATTCCACCTAGAGACAGATTAATTTCGATTTGAAAAACAATTTAGAAAACAATAATCAGCGATAATAACCATTAATAAATAATGAGTTACCAGAGTTATCAGTTTTATGTAAAGTAATTAACATCCCAAACACCAGATACTAGATTCAACAAATCAGGAAATACCTCGCTATAATTTACGTAAACGAGAATATATAAAAAAAAGAAACAGCAGTAACCAGTCTTGAAAATACTATCTGAGATGATGGTGAATTGTTGATACTTGATGAAGAACACAACGGATGAACACTTGGAAACATGTGTGAATATATAGGGCGTTCCAACGAAAACTTGACCCCCTCCCCCTGTAAGTCAGAAACGGACATGTAATCGAAAATTTCAAAGAACAAGTCAATTTTGATATCTAATTCTGATATAAATCATACCCAAAACTTCACCGCCCGCTGTCAGCAACTATTTTTTTCAATGGCATGGAGGGTAGTGATACATCATTTGTAAAGTCTTTTGTCCCTCTATTACTTCTGTAACTGAGAAATCTAATGTTTTGAGAAATTAAATGTTGAACGTTTCATTTAAAAAAAAAAGCTGTCACTCATTTTAGTGAGGAAATCAATAAAATTATTATCAATGGCAACACAATCAACGAATACAGTGTTCAAAATGACCTCCATCTAGTTCCATATACTGATATAATCTACTTTCGAAAGCGTTCCTTACATTATTGAAGATGTCCGGAGTCAGTAATCGGCATTCCCGACAATTCTCTGTCGCAGGTCATCTAGATTTGCAGGCTCACTAGAGTACACTTTCGTCTCCAGGTGTCCCCACAGAAAGAGATCAGGTGATCTAGCTGGTCACTCCACTGGACCCCTTCTGCCAATCCAACGCATTGGAAAACGTTCGTCCAAAAACTGTCTCACCCGAACATCAAAATGTGAGGGTGCACCATCCTGCTGGAATGTTATTTTATCTTCTACTAAATTGTCATCATTTTCTAAAGTTTGTGGAATCATAGGATCTACACAGTCTTGTAATAGATTCAGGTATGTGTCTCCATTGAGATTACCTTCAATGAAGAATGGTCCAACAATATGATTACCAAGAATGCCGGCCAAGGCATTCAATTTTTGTGAAGTTTGTGAATGTGTTTCCATCACCAAAGGAGGATTCACATCGCTCCAGTAACGACAATTACGTCCATCCACTTCACCATTCATCATGAGAGAACTTTCGTCTGAAAAACATGTATTGTACAATAGGTTTGGGTTACTGGTCAATTTCTCGCTGAACACCTCTCAAAACTGAAGTCGACGATCACGACCATCTTCGTCTAATTCCTGAACTAGCCTTATTTTGAAAGGATGGAATTTGTAGGCTTTAAAAATCTGAAAAACACTAGTAGCTGATACACCAGACGCTCTACTTACTTGTCTGATTGTTTGTCGAGTATCCATTTGTACATGTCCTAAAACTGCAACTTCAACTTCGTCATTTCTGACAGGACGGGATACTACATGTATTCTGCTGTGGAGAGAACCTGAAGTTTGAAACTTATCTATTAACTGTTTAACGTACTGATGGCTCACGTTGTGGTCTGGATGATTTATATTATAAATTCTTGGAGCAGCTTCAGCACATTCATTATTTCGATAATAGGTTGCAACCATTTGTATTCTTCCTTCAGTGGAATGAACCATGTTGGAACACAGTGGACAAGGATGACTGAATAATAATTCGTGAAGAAGTGACAGTGGCCAACTATCTAGCCAAAAAAACTAACAGTGTCGTCCATTTCAAAACGTTTAGTACTAATTAAATAAATTCTACAAATCTAGAAGACCTGCGACAGAAAATTGTTTGGGAATGCCGATTTTTAACTCCGGCCATCTTCAATAATGCAAGGAACGCTTTCGAAAGTAGACTGTATTATTGAATGAAACTAGATGGAGGTCATTTTGAACACTTTATCCGTTGATTGTGTTGCCATTATATTACTTTTGTTGACTTCTTCAATTAAATGAGCGATAGCGAATTTTCTGTGTTTTCTTAATTAAAACGTTTAGCATTTAATTTCTGAATAACAAATGAACCAATTAAAAAAAATACAGAAGTAATAGAGGGATAAAAGTCCCTTCAAATGATGTATCACTCAACCTCCATGCTTTCGAAAAAAATAAGGGGGTTAGTAGCTGATCGCAGGTGGTGAAGTTCCGGGTATGATTTTCCTATCAGAATTAGTCCCCCTAGATATAAAAATTGAAGTGTTCATTGAAATTTTCGATTACACGTCCGTTTCTGAATCACATGGGGGTCAAGTTTTCGTTGGAACGCCCTGTATACATATAACTAGATAGGAATGAACGAAAATGGAGGTAATGTTGGTGTTCTCGATGTCACTTTATCAGATTAAATTCAGATCTTTGGAGAAACGGCTGAATTGCAGTCACAAAATGGGTGTTTCTACTTGGAATATGTTTTCACAAATATAACAAGTACAATTCTGAAACTGTTATATAAATGTATATTGTAACGAATCTGAAGCCGGCCCTGACCGATATCTCAGCCAGCAAACACATGACTCATCGCGAACCACCGCGAAAGGTATAGTTGAGTGCCGAAACCCCTAGAGAGATCTGGAGCGTTCGTTGACGATATAAAAAGGCCGCTTTCCGTCCCGAGCGGCAGTCAGTCTGTATTCAGAAAGCGAATCGTGCGTTTAAATAAATAATTCGAACAGTGAAGATAAATTAAGTGTTAGTTGCTAAGTGTGGAATATAAATTAGTTGTGATAGTGAAATATTGTCAGAAATAAATTTGTTTAAGACTGTTAATTCTTTAATTCGTTACAATATTTTAAACTTTTCCAGGTATGACTATGGAAGTTAGGGTATTGATATTACAATCCTATAGAAATATAACAGTGATTTCATCTTAGTATTACAGAATCAGTTTTGAGCATTTTCTGATATCTGTCATTCAACTTAATAATAAGACATGTTTGTTTTTTCCAGAACAGCTGGTGAGGAAACAAGCCTGCTTGAAATAGGGTAAAAGTATTAGCATTCAGTGAGATTTTTATACTTGTTTTTGAATGAAAATTCTGTAGATAGCAGCTCACCGTTGGCGCCATAGGTCACCTCACTATATTTATTTATACACATCATGTTGAACATAATTTATCTAAAAGTCATCATATTTACTACTGGAAGTTGTATTTATAGTATTGTTTGAAAACATGATAAATTTTCGTTTTGTTTTGGTTAGTAATAAACTCCAATTATTGAAAATGGGTTAGTGCATGCGATACAATTGATATGAAGTTATCATTCAATAACATTTAAAGTGGAATTCATGCAAAATATTATTCATCACAAAGTATCTTGAGCTTTATCTGACAGTATAAGTCAGTGTAGTTGCTTTACAAAACGTCAGTTATGTAGTAATTTTGACTTGAAAACATAACTAACTGTTCAATTGAAAAATACTCTTGGTGAAAAAATAATATGTTGCCAGAGTGGCTGAATCAATGCAAGTTCTGGAGCTATGGTTCTTCGAACAAGAAAAGAGGAGGGTATTCAAAAATGTATGAAAATTTGTTTACTATAGTCATTAATCTATTTGAGGAGGAAATCATTCTTTCAAAACCATCCAGTTCATATCAATTGTAATTATGATGGATAGAAACAACTTACCGCCTTCTCATATTGAGTGATATTTGAGAATTTGATTGCCCTGTTATCTCTCCTATTTTAGAAACGAACAATTCAAAAGGAACTGAAATATTTATGGATAATATTTGATTACTGATGGCTTACATACTTACGTATTCAACGTATACAATAGAAAACATTTTCACAATGGAAATCTTGTGAAACTCTAGGTTCAGCTCTAAAACAGTTGTTTTCGGTTTATCCCGTTAATAAAAAAAGGCAAAATTCTAACTGAGAAAATTCAGTATTCAAGTGTACTGATATTTATATATCTGAAAAATAACTATTTTCAATATTTTTTCCAATATTGGCAAAAATTCAAAACAATAATGAAGCAAGGAAACTTATATTTATACCAACAATCAAATACTAATTGCCTGTTAAAAACGTATGATTCCTACGTCTCGTTTATATTATTTCAATCAATAATCTACTTAAAAAAAACAATATTCGCACTTGCCAATAGTCAGCACTTTTGTTTTGCCTACACTGTACTTCTCTACGAATTCAAACCAAAATTAGAACCCTATAGTACTTGTAAACTACTGTAAGTCCTGGTTGGTCTCGCAGATGTTTCTAGTTCATCCAGCAGTAGGGCCATGCTGAAATCATGCTGCATTAATGGAAAGTTTTGGGGTATTACCTGTACTGACGAAAAGTAATACCTCAAATCCAGTCTGAAGGTGATCTAATCGAATAATTTCTTCTGCTGCTGGATGAATTATGAAACTAACCTCTGTGGAGTATCTTGCATAAATGTATGTCATATAATTCAATATCCAGCGTGTTATTAGCCAAGAAAGTAGTTCTTCTTCGACAGTCATTTACCAGAACCTACGGTGTAGGTGATTGGATGCATTTTTCGAGATTTTATTACGAAATTTTCATTTTCTTAAACGATACAGTCTTCGGACAACTTACAAAAATGTTCAATGCCCACATTGTCATTTCATTTGAAACGCTTTTGTTAATGACATATTTTGAAGGTGATACTTTTTCAGAGATGGGACAAACAGGACTCAAGATGACGATTATGATCCTCATCTACATAGGGAAATAGAAAACCCCACAACGTAAGTAGATATATTTTTCTCTACTCAGCTCGTCATGAATAAGGAAGAGGGGTTTTTTCACTCATTACAAACTACCACTCACATTTTCCCAGTTGAAGATGAGAAAGTGATTGATAATAAAAATACGTACTGATGAATTCAATAATAATAATAATAATGACTCAATGATCACTAACCCCACGGTGTGGGGGGTGGTCATTGGTTGATAATACTGGACTAAACTCATCTAAGTTGAATTATTTAATATCGAAATTATTTAACTTGAGAAAAGCACAGGTTACCACATAATAAAAAAATATTACGTGATTGCTGGTTAGATTTTCATGATACTGTTTACAGTATAAATCTAACACAAACTAAACACTGAGCGTGTGCCCGACGAGAGAGGAGGAGCCTGCCTTTCACTGACGTATGCGTGAGAGAAAGGGAAGCCAGACAAACTGGTGCCGTTACGCGTTAGGTAACGAAGCAGTTTACCCTCCCATAAGAAGTTATTACATACTTCAAAAACAATCTTTATTCATGTTTCCGCGACTAGTCTTCATCTCGAATTTGATCTGATATTCATTAACTTAGTGATAGTCGTTTTGTGAAAACGAGAACATAAAACTTATTTATTCAATAACATATAGATGGAAATAGTAATTTTTAGTTTCTGTTCAGTTTGAATGAATATTACAGGAGTTTTTTCCCAACACCAAATCGTTATTTTTTCACCTCGACACGTGTTTCGATCACCAAGTGATCATCTTCAAGAGAAAGATAAAACTAGAAAGATAAAACCAGTTTTATCTAGGAAGATAAAACCAGTTTTATTGTCCTCTTGAAGATGATCACCTGGTGATCGAAACACGTGTCGAGGTGAAAAAATATCGATTTGGTGTTGGGAAAAAACACCTGTAATATTCATTACTACACCAAAGGTTCCAAACAGTACATCATAAGTTCAGTTTGAATGAAAACTTCTGCCTGTTCTGCTCGTCGACCTCAGGGTTATGTCTGGCATCCAGGAGGGGAGTGACTATACAGGGTGAACGCCTGAACAGATAGTAATGTAGTCTAATCAACAAGTTCAAAAACATGAAAAATAGAGATAAAGATCCTAAAAATATGTTTCGATGCAGAATTACTTCTAGAAAAATGTTTTTGAAGGATTTTGGTTCAGGTAAAAAATTGCAATTGTTATTAACAAAATAAGATTAAAAAAATGGTATTTAGTTTTTCGTTAGACAATTCGAAAATTTTATGTCGACATATAATTTACCGAATTTACCGTATTTGGTTCATATAAGTTAGGTATGCGGTATACGAAAATACTTTTCCAAAATCTACATAATTTTTTGAATCCAATGACACCCCATATTTGATATTTGAATTATGGATTGGAGCTTGGAGCACATGGTTCTGTCATCAGGTGACTTTCAAGATCACCCTACATAAAACCCCTTTAGACCTATTTTAAGACTTCGTATGTTACCGGGGAAATTGCTATGAAACAATAAAACAACTTTAGGCGTTTCGATAAACTGTTATTGTTAGTTAGTAATAAGGGTTGAGTCGGATGATTTTGCAAGCCACCTTTGATGTCATTTCTAGAAAAACTGCAAGATTGAAAAATCTTCCGTTAGGTCAAAAAATGCCTCTTTGTGAGCATATCCATTATTTCGAGTTTCGTAAAAATAAAGAAAATAATGGAGGTGTACAATAAGTTTGTGTCACCCGGTATGTTGTGTCCTAGCTTTTAGATATATAACATAAGATATATTATGCAATGTTTTGCAAGATATCTCATATCTCATGAAAAATTGGTATTACAGTAGTAAAAATAAGTTTGAAATGAAAGAAAACAAAACCTGAAGATCTTCTCTACAGTACGGTTCATACATATCTTTATTGATTCGGAATATGCTTGTAGTATACACTCAAACCTGATGAATTTATTCTCATGTTGACCGAAACATTATGGAATACCTATATGTATTAATCCACCAATGTCTATTTCAACAACAATACATCGGGGATGTAGCTCAGTGGTAGAGCGTTCGCTTTGCATGTGAAAGGCCCGGGGTTCGATCCCCCGTATCTCCATTTTTTTTTAATTTATGTACTACCACAAAGAATAAAAACGTTTTTACTTTTAACTAATTTTTTTCAATTTTTCTCTGTATGTAACGTTTATTTATCCGTATTAGAACTTGTATGAATAAAATAGGAAAAAATAACACTTTGACAACAAAAAACAACGTTACCTACTTTGTAGTATTTTGACTGTCGTCCTACAAATTGAGTTTTGAAATGGTAGGGTTTAAAACTGATTTTTATTCTGGAAACCTACAGAAAAGGCAACTCTCAGAATTCAAAGTTAAGGATCAATGAGACCTCATTTTTGGGTGCGATTTCTAAGAAACTTCATCAACTACCGATCACGGGTTTTGCAGATGATTTGAAGTCTTCATTTTAATATCTTTGAATCTGAAATCTTCTTATCCAGCAGAAACTTCAATACAGGAAAATTTCAATACAGATAAATTTTTATGTACCATCGTTGGAACTATCAAGGATCAATAGATCCTTTTGGGTGCGATTTCTAAGAAACTTCATCAACTACCGATCACGGGTTTTGCAGATGATTTGAAGTCTTCATTTTAATATCTTTGAATCTGAAATCTTCTTATCCAGCAGAAACTTCAATACAGGAAAATTTCAATACAGATAAATTTTTATGTACCATCGTTGGAACTATCAAGGATCAATAGATCCTTGACACTTAATTTTGGTAGGTTGTCCGGTAATTTGCTCTGTTTGATTTGTTTTTTGATCGAATTTGATTAGTACATTTGATCCTGATTATATATTTTACTTTAAAAAATACACGTCGAAACGTCGCTTCGGTAATTTTAAAATATTCGGATTGATTTTCATTGTTTTCTTTATTCCCACTATACCTTCTCAAGAATAGCCAACGAATGTTATCCATGGTGTTCCAAACTTTTGCGGTTTACCACCAGCTGCTGAAACGGGGAATCCCTACATCTTTCGAACAATATCAATAAAACTTTTTCGGGGAACTTTGAATACCATGCGATATATAATAAAGGACTGATTTGCATCTTTGGCTGTTGTACGTAGAAGTGCAAGGTAAAAGTTTATTCCTGTAGGATTTCAACCGACTTTTACAAAAACCACATTTTCAATTCCACCGTATGTATTATTTTATGTATACACATAATTTTTGTTGAAAGAGAAATCTGACTTGCATGAATGTCGTGAAATGAATGAGAACAGTTAAATCACTTTGTCGATATTTTTGAGTATAGTACAATCATTTTACAGATATGAAAATTCGAAGACAATAGAAAGATCTATAATTTTTCTAGATTTAGTAGTTTCTGAAGGTTTCCGAAATCTCTTGAATATTTCGTTACCAATTAAGAATAATTTTTGAAACAAGGCCTACTGCATGTTTCTTCGTCGATTGATCGCAGATCGGATAAAAAGTCAGTTTATACAAATATTTTTAGATTTTCAGGTTCAAGTGATGAAATTTTTCAAAACTCTCTTAACCTTTTTAGAGAACTGAGGGTTGCCTTTTATATTTTTGGATTAGAGAACAAAAACACTTTATTGTTTTCCCAAATATTCCCCATGAAGATCTATACACTTTTGCATGCGTTTGAATCAATTGTCGAAGTACTTTTGCCACTCTGATTGAGGTATCTCCAAAACATGAATTCTGAATGCAGCAACCGCTTCTTCAGGTGTCGAAAAACGTTGACCTCTCAGTTTGTTTTTACGTGCGGGAATAAAAAGAAGTCATTCGGTGCCAAGTCAGGACTATACGGCGGATGATCCATTAAATCGATGTTTTGGGTGCTCAAAAATGTAGTTGTTTGAGCCGATGTGTGAGAGCTCGCATTGTCGTGGTGAAGAGGGATCCGTCTTCGGCGGTTGGTTTTCCTGATTTCTTGAAAGACAACTGGCAAATAAAAGCTGTATAATTTTTCAGGTTTTTTTATGTAAAAGTGGTCTCTTAACACAACGTAATTTTTGTCTTTTCTTACATTCCAGAAATATGGAAACTCTCATTCATTTACTAAAGGGATGTCTAGGAACAGGTATCTTGGCTTTGCCTGAGGCTTTCAAATATTCGGGAATGGCGAATGGAATAGTATCGACACTTCTTATAGGTTTACTCTGTACATATTGCCTCCACGTATTGGTAAGTATTATATTTTCAATTGACAGGAAATTATCATTTGCATATATCAGGATCTTTGAGAGTTTGAATCACGTGACTATGGAGTATTTGGAACTGTGGTAACGCCTCCATCCTGCAGTGGGGAGGCCTTGGGATACCCCTGCCAGATGAGGTATGATCCGTGAAGCTAATAGTCCTCTTAAACGAGGCTACATCCCAAGGTGTGTGTATCCATGCTGGAGGAATGTATGACTCTGAGCCCATTCAGTGTCAGTAACGGTACTTTCGAGGTACCAAACACCCTATCGTCGTAAAAATCCTTGTCACGGTAATTCAGGGATCTGCCTTCTTTTCCTAGCTTCACGTGGGATCCTTTAAGGAACCTTGAGTAACCAAAGTATCCGTTCCTGCACAACCTAGGATGCTAGATGGTTCAGCCAGGAAGCAACCTGCCACCCTCCCAGGAACAGGATGAATCTGCCTCCCATAAAATTCTCAAACAGCAGAATACGCTTCAGAGGACAAAAAAAATCAACATGAACAGGCCACCCAACGTTTTAGCTCATTAATTCAATCCAGATGCGAAAAACCCTGATTTACTGAATCTAATGTCGACAATTTCAATATCGACATGCCATTGTGACTATGGAAGATGATCGCAAAGGTTGCCTGAGAGGACCAGGATAGCGTCTCCGGGTTGATGGGTGTAATTAGTACTTTTCTTCCATGGGAAACCCATGAAATGCGTAACAGGAGACCTACTTCCCAAGTGACACATTTGTGTTGCTTATCTACCTGATGAATGCAGTAGGAGACTGACCGCCGATCAGGTCCCCAATAGATTGGGAAAATAAACCATAGTAGATGAACAAAAAGACTTTTGGCACATTTCAAGGTTGCGCGTCGCTGGTAAGCCAACCATAGAATGGATTGTTCTTCACAAAGTGCTATGCTACCAGGGTCTTTTATCATGGATAGTTATGTAAAAAATATACCTAGCTGGCAAAAAAGATTACTGAAGATGAAGTTACATCATGGTAACAATAGGTTCGAAGTTGATAGGTCCTCGCTAGTGTCGTCACCTAGAAAAAATCCTTACATCTGTTTTTGGATGTAATATAGTGTCTGACATGTAACTGGCTCGCTTGAGCTTTGGGTAATGTGGTGGTTCTAACAGCATTTAAGAGTTCAAACTATAAAATTTCATTTACCCTACATAAAAATTCCCAGATATGGGTGAACAATTTGAACCAAAACTATCAGTAATACCATGAAACCATTGGGTTGCTTCAAAAGTTTTGTCAGTTTTTATGAGTCTAATTCAATTTGTGATATCTCAGTGAATATTTATTCAATTCAAGCGCCTTTTGAATCAGTGCACTTTTACCAACGCAACACAAGTCCAGTGATTATGGAAGTCGACGACACAATTTTTGGTACATTTCGTCGATTTCCTCACAATAAGTCTCTGCTGTGATGATATGGCCCGGTTGCAGAAAATTATCATCATCACCATCAAGATCCTACTTGCAGGTTAAGGAACCGCTACTGTGGTGATGGATACTGTTCTCTACGAACAGAATATATCGAAGAGGTTTTTCAGGGACAATACAAAAAGATCATACGGGACCCTACTGCATCAATTGAAAGGAAGTTGTACCAGATATTGAAAAAACACCAAGTATATTTTTCGAAAAATGAGAGATCATCGCTATCACCGCACCAAAGTTAACCCCCTCACTTGTATGGACAAAATCCACAAGAAGGAGGTCCGCTCAGACCGATTATTAGCTCCAGAGATTCGGCTACTCAAATCTTGTCCAGATTTTTACTCTCCATAATACAATCATTACAAGGAAAAACATCTTCACTTGAACGACTTGATTATGAATAAGTTTGTTTGTTACGTACTGTCCATTAGAATCGTACTTGTTACATTACAGGTGAGGGGTAATTCAAATCTTGATTATTGAACTTCTTCATCGACTACGCCAAATGTTCCTGTTCTACCTGTCAAGCTCCATCGATTATTTTCCAAAGTCACTTTGCTTTTTTCCTGTGGAAAATTTTGTCGTAATCAGTGAAACTATATTCCTCATTTGTTGACACAGCTTCAAGAAGCCAAATGAGATTCACTATTAGATTCTATGATATTTTACCTTATTGACGCTTTGTGTGTTTTTTCAGATTAGGGCAGCTTGTGGTTGAAACTGATTTATTTGGGTTTCAACATATTTTTTTCGTTTTCCAAGATCCATCAGCCAGAGATAAAAAATCTGTTACTTTGAAGCGACAGAGATCTCCATGTCACTCAAAATGACAAAGATCATCTCTTCTGATTGGGCGAAGTCATGATAACACAAGACATTTGTTTGTACATCTTCTGCTGGAAAAATCCCCACTTTAATTTCTAGTAAATGCTCAAGAGATAGCAGAAACATATATGATTTTCTCGAACTTCAACTAGCGTTTCCTAATATGACTCGTAACCAGTCCGTGCAAAGCTTATTGTTGAAGCATCTGAAAATGAAACTTTTAACGGGTGAAGATCAACTGTATTGCCAAACATGCGCCAAACTAACTGACTATGAGAAAACAAGTATAGCTGAGGCACCAGTCAATCTAATAAGAACACTGATGATCTTAAAACATGACTCAACCTCTGACGGAAGCACTAAACTCTTCGAAGGTTCGAATGAACACGAATGAACACGAAGATGAACACTTCAATTTAACTGACCACTATTATAATCTTCATGTAGTCATTATTTACTGTGGTTCTTGCGTTGAATATCGTCAAAGACGAAACGGACTGGTTTCAGTTTGACGATAGTCGTGTCACTAAGTGTTCTGGCGATACAGTGAATCTAGTGGAGCCTCTGAAGACACCCTACATTTTGTTTTATGAAAGAGAGGACATTGGCAGATCAAGATCTTCAGATGATGTGGTGCTGCGGGTTTTTTCGGTTTCTCCTGCAGCTGAAAAAGCCAATGCGCCACTGGAATCAATGAAGTCGCCTCGGAGCGCCAATTAATTTTTTTCGTTTCATAATTGGATGATTTGTATTATACCACTTGTATGTAATAATAAAAATTTATTGAATAATTCATTGTACATAAAACTGGGCTGAAGATGAACGAAAACCAATTTTCATTTATAATAAAAGATGTCCAATACTCTGGATTGAAATATCCTCCAAATTAAGTGTTCTACATTTCTCACAAGCTCACCCATCATTATAAAGTGAAGGTGGATGACCTTTAATTGTTCAAATTACATTTAATATCCTGGGTTCTAACTCGATTAAGATCCTCGTCTGATATACAGCTGCCCATATAGTATTAACACACTTATTGTATCGACTAATGAACTAATTGAATAATTTCAGGTTAGGGCTCAATACGTGATATGTAAGAAATTAAAAGTAGCGCTCCTAACGTATCCCGAATCTATGAAAACAGCATGCGAAATAGGTCCAATGTGCCTTAGGAGATTCGCGCCATACGCACCGTGAGTATGCAATTTTTGAAAAAGTTTTAGGTAATCATTCCACCTGGTGATATGAGTTCATTTTCACAAAAACATAGTAAGGAAAAAAAGAAAGCAATCCACCCCAAAGCCCGAAACAACTAATTCAATTTGCTTCCTTAATCTAGGTTGAAATCAAGTCAGGACTTTTCTGATACTATTTCAATCACCAAAATTCCACTTTGATACCGAGAGAAAAAAGTTATAGGGGCGAGCCTTTGATGAGCCACCATATATACAGAAACTTCTTAAAATAATTTTCAGTTTTCATTAAAAAAACTCTCGATTAGCACTACTAAGCAAATACTAAGTTAAATAAACTGAAAACTATTTCTTTTAATCCCAGTATTTTCTCAAAATGAATTTTGAAATTCTCCAAACAATATTGAAGCTTGATCATGGTGTAGAGGCTTTCAGGGCCGATGTCTAACAATTTGTCGGATGTTTCTGGGCTCAATAGCCGTGGTCTACAAATTTTAATATTTGACGTTTCGTCTGCTACTGCGGCAGGCAAAGGCAATACGGCGTCGTATTCTAATCAAACAAGTTGGGGTTTAACCCCCTGACTTTTGCAACTCGCTGCCTATTTTCAGGCTTGGAACGGTCGAGAATCCTGATTTTCGACACCGGATTCATCGGTGAAACTTGGTTCATCTCTAGAGCTTTTGGGGTTACTCGGAAACCTCACCTCGTGGATATGCGATTCCTTTTGAAGCGGGCCCTGACTAAAGGAATTTCATGAGTTTCAGCAATTCTGAAACTCCACGATTTCGGGTCTTTATAGTCTGCCATATGGTAGGCAACAAAACACAAAGATTCTCCCGATAATTGTAAAAGGGTCGGACCAATCAGGTAAAAGAGCAGTGTGCCAAATGTACCAGGACCATTTTCGTTTACGCATCGCAACAGGGTAGATCAGTTGGACCGTTGCCGCATCTCTTTTGATAATGTCTGCCGCAGTAGCAGACAAAATGTCAGGTGTAAAAACCTGCAGGCCGAGGCTAATAAACCCGGAAACATCCGAGTTAGAGATTGTTTTCAAGTATAGTCGAAGTAAACGATATTGTGCACATTTAAAGTTGGCGGCACTCAAAGGCCAAAAAACCCATACATAGAAATGAATCGGCTGAGAACTAGTCCACGTGGAATGTAGAATTGGCGATTCGTATTGAATAATTTTTACTAACCAAGTTTTATAATTGGTTGAAGAGTCATAAAATTTAATTTGAAGTCATGTTACGGTGATGATTAGAAATCGGGGAATGTGGGGATGGTTATCGCCGTCGTGTTCAGTTCAGGAACTGATCGTGATTTGACTGTTGAAATTCGATATTGGTGCAGTTATAATTACTTAAAGTTTCTGTTATCTATTTGAAATGTGGCGTCCTTGGACAAGTACTGATAGTAATAACGAGTGTGATAGCAACGCAGACTTTTCCAGTGTAGTGGTTCCAATAGCGATGGTGAACAATGCGAAAAAGAGATACCAGTGAATAAGATTCGGATGTATTTGAATATTTAAACACAGAGAGTATGTTTCAATGTATATAAGAATCTATATCTCAAGTTTGGTTTCGAAGGAAATAAACTATTACAAGCAACATCACATTTGACCGAAATTTCTCTCTCAACTGTACGTAAAATAGTCAAAAACAAACCTCATGAACGCAAGACGCGATGTGATACAGGATTACCAAAACCTTTAGATGTTCATCTGATGAAATCATTAAAGAAAACAAAATACGAATGTTACAAAAGCAATATGAGATTCCCACAACTGAAATCATAAGGAAGAAATTGAATACTTCCGGCCATAACTTGAGCTGTTGTGACAAAACTTTTCAGAATTGGATAAAGAAACCAGGATTCTGATTTAAAATAATAAACAAACGTCAAGCAGTTATGGAAAGCAGAAGAATAGTGGAATTGCGTAACAAATACTTAAATATAGACAAAAACAACGGCAAATTTTCTATTTGGACGAAACATGGTATGACACTCACGACACAGTTACGGAAGGGTGAACTGATGGTTCGAGAATGTGTACGCCTAACATACATGCAAACAAAGGATTGCGACTAATCGGTTTGAAAACACATCGATCCTAAATTTGGATGCGAAAAGTGTAATATTTTTTGACAACGATTCCTATCATTCGCGACAGCTCATCAAAGTACCGAATAAAAATTCGAGGAAAGATGAAATACAAAGTTTTTATTCAAAAAAATATAACCCCTTCAATTCATTATATAATTATTGTGATTCTTATATAATCAGAAATGATATTGAATAACGAAATCATTTAGCTCCTAACTATATAATCAAAGGGGAGTTGTTGAAATGTAGGTTGCACTATATCGTTAACTTGAACTATATAAGAGCAGTCGGCCAAATGCACCAGGATTATTATCGTTTGCACATCGCAGAAAGGTAGATCACTGGGACCGTTGCCGCATCTCTTTTGATAATGTCTGCCGCAGTAGCAGACGAAATGTCAGGTGTAAAAACCTGTAGACCAAGGTTGATAAACCGAGAAACATCCGGGTTAGAGCTTCTTTTTAAGTATCTGTTTAACATTCTAATACTGGTTTGAGCATATTTCAATAATATTTCTGAGATGATTTATCGACACACATACGGTTTAACCACTCAACTGACATCGGATATATTTATGAATACTTTATTTTATTTCAGGGGTATAACAAATTTTTTTCTAATATTTTACCAGATGGGAATATGTTGCGTATACGTAGTGTTCGTAGGAGTCAACATTAAAGCAGTGGGAGACGAGTATACTTCAACGAAAATCTCGCTCACATTGTATATTCTGATGTTCTTCATACCCTTCGTCCTGATCATATGCATCAGGAACCTCAAGTTGCTGGCACCGTTTTCTATAGTGGCCAATATTATCACTTTGGTTACATTTGGTGTTGTTGGATACTACGTTTGTCAAAATCTGCCGTCCTTTACTAGTCTGCCATCGTTTGGAACATTGTTCAACTATCCTTTGTATTTTGGAACTACGTTATTTTCTCTACAGGCTGTCGGTGTGGTGAGTATTCGTGGCTTTTCAGAATTTCAATATTCGATGTGATATACGAGGTCTGTTCACAAGTAAGGTGAAGGTTCAAATTTCGCGGGCTAAGAACTTTTTATTTCTTCATGTTGATACACTCATTTTGAACATATGTTCACAGATTCAGCTTTATAGTATGTTCAGGTTAGATTAGGTTAAGTTAGGTTAGGTTAGGTTATGTTAGGTGCATTTATTTTTTTAACAGGTCAACTCAAAAAACTAAAATTTGGAATAATATTTTGAAGTGAAATTGACACATTTTGAAGCTCCTGATGAATACTTCACAACCCTAGAATATGAAGTCAGTTTCTTCACCTACTACAAAACGGCGGAACATTTGATAATTTCTTGAAGACAAACACATTAATATTGATATTTCTAGAAATATTCCTATTTATCTGCCATATGGCAATTCCAACAAGCCGATGAGGTTTGTTAAGTTATTTTTTGTTTATAAAAACTTCAAACAATGTCAGTACGACAATGAACATCATTGTTCAGTTAGATTATTCTCATTTAGTTTTCGGTTTTACTAGTAGAAAGGTACCACATCAACAATCTCTAAAATGGTCAATTCTCGTCCATTGGAAAAAAAAATTGAAGCGATTTTTATTTACGGTGAGACGCGTAACTTTCATGAGACCGAAAGGATTTTCAATGAACGTTTTCCGAATCGTCCTATTTGTAGAAAATATTTAAGGGAACTTGTACATAACAAAAAACTCTCATCATCCGTCCATTCCGGAAGAACAGCAAGTGCGAATAATAGGTGAGATGGTAGTAAATCCTTAACAGTCTACTTATTCCGTCGCGAATGTTTGTGAGGTGTCTCCTTCTACTGTGTGGAGATTTTTGAAGAGGAACATACAGAATCAAAATGGTACACCAATTAACTGAAGATGACCTTGATCGAAGAATGGAATTCTGTGAAATCATGACGGAAACTATTGCAAAGCATCCTACCTATCTCCACAATATTTGTTTTAGTTACGAATGTACATTTTTTCAAAAGGCAGTTTTCACAGACAAAATTGTTATTGTAGTGACATCAACCCTCACGTTTCCCGGGAAACGCATATCCAATATTCAGAAAAAATTAACGTTTGGGCAGGAATATTGAGAAACCATATTGCAGAACCTCTATTTATTCATTAAAATTCAACAGGGGAGCTGTATTTGCTAGAAACTACTGTTGACCCTCTCATCACTGAAATCTTCGAAGCGAATCCTAATGAATTCAATATGGATATTGTATTCCAACAAGATGGAGCACCACCACATTACTCCAGACAAGTAAGAAACTATTTGGATACTACTTTTCCCGGTCTTTGTATTGGCCGACGAGTTCCTACAGAATGGCCAGCCCGCTTACCAGAATTGACACTTTTGGACTTCTTTTTTATGGGGCTATTTGAAGCAAAAGGTGTACGAAACTGAACCTGCTTCAATATTGGATATACGGCAGAGAATAATAAATATTTGTAAAGATATTGACGTTACTTTGTTCGAAAATGTTCAGCGTGAAATATCGGATAGGCTGTTCATACGTCAAGAAGTTTAAGGCAACCATTTCGAGCATCTTCTGAGATGACCTCAAGCTTATTAACTCATGTTATGTAATTAAATGTCAATGACATTGGAAAAATGCACTGTATGTTTTTTTGTTTTTTTAAAGCTATCTGATGTTAATTTTAATTTTCGAAAGTGAGCAGATACCAAAGAAAAAGAAAAGATATAAATCAAAATGACTGACGAAAAGGGAAAATAGTCTAAAAACAGCGGAAAATTCATTGGTTCAAGGATAATATATACTTGTTTTTGAAAAAAAATACTGTAATATCGATGTGTAAAATTCGCAATAATAAAAAAACTTTGCTCATTGGAAGTTAATGAAAGTTATGCCAAAACTAATTTAAAAATAGGAAGAGCTTGTTGAAAAATTCTCATTTGAGAATTAATGGAATTAATGGATATTTTTTCAGGTCATTGCTTTAGAAAATAATATGGAAACGCCAAAAAAATTTCGGGGAGCATTTGGTGTCCTCAACGTCGGTATGGGTTTAGTCACAGCTATATATGTATTAATGGCAATGATGGGATATTGGAGATATGGAGATAAGATCCAGCCGAGTATCACTCTCAATTTTCCCCCTGAAGAAGCGTAAGTACACGTTTTGACAAAATAAGTAATTCATGTACGAGATTATTGATGTTTTTTATTTCATATCGCTCAAACTATTGAATTTTGTTATGTTTCGTATTATTGGATTGAATTCTTTTTATTTTCTTAGTGCTTAAAAATGTACTACTTGTCGCAAAAACAAAAATTACTGCTGTGTAAGCTATAAAGAGTTTTTTGTAATACTTTTTAGTTTTCGGAAGTAGACTGACTAACATTGTTATTATTTATGATATAATATTGTATCAATTCATATTTTCAGGTTAGCACAAGCAATCAGAATACTATACTCGATAGCTATATTCATTTCCTATGGTCTACAAGGATACGTACCTGTACAAATTATTTGGACAAACTACATGATTCCTAGACTGGAAAACAGTAATAAAAAACTAATGTGGGAATACATACTACGTGTCGCTTGTGTTATTCTTACATGTAAGTAAATAATTCATTGTATAAATGCTGTAAACTGCTGGTTTCTCTTATGGAATCGCTAAATATAGCATTTGAAAATGGGATTTATCGATAAAATCTTGTGATATTACTTCCCTTCTGCATTACGTTCGTGTTCAACTATTCGATTATATTTGAGGATTGAAATTGACTAATAGTTGTTACCCGGGGCTTCTCCCACGTAGAATTTGGCAGGGGAGCCCACGATACAAAATGGGGATATACTCGAGCGTCATTGAGACATATTAGGTTGCAAAGGTTAGATGATAAGAAGAAAAAAATGTTATATAATATATACCTTTTAATCAGAATTATTTCCTTCAAAATAAAAAAAATAGCTACGCTCGATCGAGAATGTCGAAATGACGTTATTTTTTTACAACTTTGCTGTCCTTCCCTTTCTTTACGTCACTCAAATTGTCAGATTACTGGAAAATACACTTTTTAGCAGGTAATTAACTCACCCTACCTTAATCTGACGCGCTCGAGAATTTCTGATGATCAATTTTTTTTTACTAACCTGATCCTTTATCGGCAATTTTGTCTGTGAACATTGCCGTTAAAAAAATTTACAAGACTATCGAGACTTTCAAGATGACGACTGGGCGCCATCAATTTCACTTCAAAATAAGGTATTCATGCATTAATTTCATCATCCCAAATTTCAATTTTTTAAGTTGACCCGTTCAAAAAATAAAAGGGGGGACATTAAAGAACGCACTGTATTACGAAATTTCATTTAGAACTATTTAAGATAAACAATCTTACAGTAACTCGCCAAGATAGCTCTCAGGGAGCAAGAATTTTTCCGACTTACTTAAAATACTTATCGTTATATTAAGATCAAAATTACACAAAACCTTTATAAATCGTAGCCTCAATGTTATTCTGATGTATAAGCTGTATTTATGTAAAGTTTCATATATGTATATCCGTTCAGTCGTTTAGGCGTGAAACGGTCACACTTACATACATTCATTCATCCTTACAAACTTTCACATTTATAATATTAGTATAGCTATAGATTCCACATTCATATTGATATTCATTTCCACCCATATAATGCAATTTCTTTGACCACTAACCTAAATAACATTTTTTTTTTCAGTTATCTTGGCTGTGACAGTTCCCCTCCTAGGTCTATTCATCTCCTTGGTAGGAGCATTTTGCCTTTCTGCCCTTGGCATCGCCTTTCCTGCTATCATTGAACTTTGTGCCTATTGGCCGGACAATCTGGGTCCAGGACGGTGGATTCTTTGGAAAGACATCGGACTCATTATTATAGGCATCATAGGTTTATTAGCAGGTAGCTATAGCTGCATCTATGAAATCGTAAGAACTCTAGCCTCAGGAAAAACGTGAAACATTAACATATCGCTACAAGACAACCATAATAGTAATTGCTTCTCGTGCAGGGAGACAAAATATAGTTGTGTAGATTAGAATAAAAACGAAAATCAATGCCGAAGATTGAAAGCACATGCCAAAAAAGTAACTCTGATGAATTACAATAGTAACAGGCTATAGGTATCAGACAATTTTATTTATTTTGATTTTATCTTCATCGTGATAGTCAACAAGAGAAAAACCCATGGAATTTTTTCACTCTCCAGTTATATATTTTATTACCATAAACGATAATTTTCAGTGTTCAGTTGCTTGCTCAGGATTCAATATTACATATCCACGATTGTGTTGAAATCTGACATAAGCTATACTACTTGCTGGAGAATGACTCATAGTTCCATCTGTAGGTAGCAACAGACTCATTATTTATTATAGTATAGATAGGATTACGAGTTTCAGTACAAAATTTATCATGAATTGGCAATTACTCACAAGCATTGCTTCAATTAAAAAAAGTATTGTTCCAAATTGTTATATTGTAAAAATAAATACTGAATTGATAACAATGCCGTTTTGACTTGTTCCCAACCCATTTGTCCACACGAAACGACAGTAAAGATCTGTACAACCAGAAAATAAAAATAATGCCAGATATAAGGCCCTATAAAAAACATCTCAAATTCAAGGAAGAAACGATCAAATTCCTGGTGGATCTATAGGAGTATTATTACCTATTAACCTAAGTACAAACAGCAGATACTATATTGAAGAAAAATTAGAAATATAGATGGAAAGCACATGTCCAAAATCTATGAAATATATTCATCAACCTCCAAATTTAGAACTAACTGAAAATTTATATAAAACGAGGATGTTATTGAATTTTAATTCACTTTATCAATTTAAAATTTGTTCCTTCATTCACTTCACCAAGGCTGTTCATACGTCAAGAAGTTTAAGGCAACCATTTCGAGCATCTTCTGAGATGNTTGGTAATTCTTCAGAGATCCATATTGTCGCCAACCCTATTGAAATGGAATAAATTTTTAATACAATTCCTCTGCCTACTTTAACAATGAAGTTTGCCATCAGTTATGAAGTCCGGAAAAGGGGTTTTTGGATTTTATAACTGAAAATTAAATTCCTTTAACAACAGTATTTCAGTAACAAATTCATTGTGGTAGATACCTATCTGATTTTGCTTACTCCACCGGCAGACAGATGGCGAAACCTGGCGACTTTTAACTTTGTTGTGGGTCCATCCACTAGCCTTCTTGGATGTTCTCGTGAACAGACGTGAAGATGATGCAATGGGCCACAGAGTATACAGAAAACCAACAAACACAGACAGGTACCTGAATAAAAAGTCTAACCACCAGTCACAAGAAAAGAGTGAGGTAAATAAAACATTGGTTGAGAAAACACGACGTATCTGTGAGCCTGAGAGTCTTTCTGAGGAAGTCAATCACCTCAAAAATGCCTTCAAAGGGAATGGGTACACTGAAGGAGAATTGGAGTAGGTCATACGACCCATAAGAGAAGACGCCAAAGTAACCCCAACTAGACTAGTCAAGGGAAAATGTTACAGACCACATTGGGAGGATCTTAGAGAGATACGACGTGAAACCAATATTCAAACCAGAAAAACTGACAGACAAAGTCTACGATCAGTTGAGTACCCCAGAGAACCTTTAGCAATACCTAGAACTTACTGGATACCTTGTAACCACGAAAAGAAGTATAAGTACCCGTCTCTGTACTTGTGCATATTGCCAATTGCATAAATCAATTTAATGCAGAGTGCAACAGACTGTTGGTTGAAACTGAAAATCACAGCATTCTGGAAATGACCTCTGACTTTATGCCTCCAACTGTCAACTACCAACTGCCTTATATCCTTCGGGAGAAGGAAATATTAAGAGGAGATAGTTGTTGGTTCACAGCTGGATCAAAAACTCCTTCCGGTTCTGGTGCAGGTGTTTTCAGGACAGAGATATCAACCTGCCCAGGAACCTATGCGACTACATTTCAAGCGGAAATTTACGTTATTGAATTGTGTACGGAGAGATTGGAAGAATCCCACCTCATACACAAGTCAATACAAATATCCTTGGACAGTCATGCGGCGTTGGAAGCTCTTGGCTCCTACCGAGCAACGTCTAAATTGGTAGCAAATTGCCAAAAACGACTCACCTCGATAGGAAGACTTAACAGATTGTCTCTGCATGGTCTGGATTCCTGGCAATACTGGCCTGGTAGGCAATGCTGACTTCCTTGCAAAGGAGGGTGCTGCAAGCAGCTTCATCGGACCAGAACCAGTAATTGGCATCGCTTTTAGCTTTAACAAACAAACATTGAACAAATGGAGGGCAAGAAGATTTATGGACTTCTGGCAAAATCTTCCAGGATTGGCTCACTCCAAGGCGTTTATCCACTCTTCGAAGCTTGATATCAAACAGTTGTTGGACTACAGTAGGGATGAACTACAATGTCTAACAGACCTTCTTACTGGTCACTGTCATTTGAATCATCATATGCGGAGACTCGGACTGTCGAAAGACAGTGTGTGTCGCCTCTGTTTGGAAAATGATGAAACAGCAGAGCACATACTTTGTGCCTGCCCTGCTGGGGACCGAATCAGGTTTTTAGAGTTCGTCAGAACCGTACCTTACCATCTGACCTGAAAGACCACTCATCATACAAACTAATCGGCTTCGTTAAGAAATAATATTAATAATATAATAATAATAATAATCTTTATTCATCCTTTAAGATCATACACATGATATAGGACAAGTCATAAAATGTAAATAGACAGACATATATAAGTACACATATATACATATACATACGATAAACATATAACTATATTTCTTTATCGTCCATACAAACAAGCAAACAGCAAAACTAGGAATTAGCAAAATATCCACTAATGTCATAAAAGCAAGACTCCACTAAATAGTTTTTCAAACTTGCTTTGAATTTGTTAATATTTTTTTCGTTTTTGATATCACTTGGGAGATGATTGAAAAATCGTATTCCATTATATTTAGGACTGCTTTCGTAAAGTGATGTACGGTGCTTTATACTTCTAAATAAGTCACCATGCCTCGTAGCATAGTCATGAGAGTCAGAAATTTTTGAGAAGCTCTTGATGTTGAGTTTAACATATGTTACAGTTTTATAAATGTAGATCGATGGTATTGTCAGTAATTTAAACTTTTTAAAATGATTCCTACACGTCATTCGGTAATCTAAGCCAAAGATTAGACGAATTAGTCTTTTTTGACTGATGAAAACTCTGCGAGCGTTGGCCGTACAATATTATTAGAAATATGTGAATATGAGAGAGCATAGTACACGTTTATTAATTGCTCTAGTGAGCCTCTTACACACCTGATCAACGTGTGTATTCCACTTCAATTTTACATCTAAATATGTGCCCAGAAATTTCATTGAATCCGAAAAGTATATATTTTTGTTGTTTACGCGAACAATTGGGTTTATTTGGTCGAGTGTGAATAGGTGTCAGCCACCTTGCGGTGGAGGGTCGAATAGACACACTCACTTTGGACCTAACTTAACCTAACCCATCTCTGTAGTCGATTCTCCTTTGAGTATGTCTATCGCAGTAGTAGACGAAACGTCAGACATATAAACCTGCAGACCACGGCTTAAAAACCCGGAAAATGAGTTTCACACAAATTTTATGTAATTATATACCTATAAATGCAGAGTATCCCAATAATTTCATCGACAAATGCCAAAATATGTTATCTGCAATTGCTCTATCTTAATTTTCGCTCATTAATGATTTACATTCCAGAGAATCCGATTACGTGTATCTAACGATACATTGATAACTGTGGAATGTGGGCAGTCTGATAACATCGAGAGACAAATTCCGTTGTAAACATTCAAGATCCACCTATGCAGGACGCGAGTTGAACTCAAGGTTAATCCGTCAGTTTTGCAACAAATTCCGTAACAGCTTACGAGGTTGCTCGTTCATCCTACTGTTAAAGTCTCCATCTGCTAGGTACCAACAATAAAGAAAGTGCGAGTGAATCGAATCGTTAGTTTTCACACCGATATAATTTGGAATAAAAGAATACTCGTACATATAATCGACTAACCAACATCTGCGAATCGGCAAGAATCACTTCATAGCCTTCGCGATGACGCAACGTCATAGCTTTCCCCACACAAGTCCACTACTCCAGTGCTAAGCAACCTAAGAACGGCATTATAGTTGTCTTTGTAAGGTAACGAAAACAAGTGAGTGTTATTTCGATACCCACGCGTTTCAGCGGGTTTTGGAAACGTTATCGTGATATTATTTCAAAAGTGAGAGTGAATTACGAGAACATGGGTGGATCCATCTAGTGTTTTTGTCCAGGATTGACGTTTGCTCCCGGTCACGGTATGTAAATTCAACATGATTCTGCACCATAGTCTTTTCTTATCCACTAGAACTTGGAATTGTTATTGTTGATAAAAAGTTATATGCGGCTTGAACAAATTCAATAATTCTTCGTATGCCAACTTGTTTATCTATAAATTTCTTCAATTGTTTAGATAAGTTTTGGCAAAAAAAGTCATCTATCTACTCCTTTTCAAACACCAATAAAATGTTGGAGACGTGGTGATGTTTTTCATTTTTAAGAAATTTCGATTTTATGAGCAGTTATTTAACATCGTCATCAGCGTTTTCAAACCGATTTTGTGATACATTCCTTAATTGTATCAACTATGCTACCTATATAGCATTTTGGACGTATATTGAGGTTCAATAATTATAATATATGATGGTGACCAGAGTAAAGGTTGTCAAAGAGTGAGGTCATGATTCTATTCATAACTGATTTTTAAACCTTCACTCTATGCGAGGTCACTGCATCTAGACAATATTTTTAGTTTCGAAAAATAATATGTTGACATTATTCCTTGGCACTACTCACTTGGCATCGACAGGTGGTTGACATTTGATGAAAAATTATGACAAAACGAGTCGCTAGATAAAGTAGTGCAAAATTTAATTTATTATCATTACTTCCATGCTTTTTTGCTACTTGGGAGCCTGACAGCATGTATTTTTATTGTATCTAATAAATTGATGTTTTCCTCAGTTAGGAATTTTTAAAACTCTTTTCTACAAATATTCAAATCTGAAAATACCCGAAAATTAAGAAAGCATCCTGTACTTAAATTTTGATAACTGAAACGCCTCCTCTGGGAAAAAATTAAACTGAAGGAATAGTAGAAGATCCATATGTTTACAGTGTATTTAATCAAGGCAGATGCTAATCCATAACCTTTTTGTTGAACTTTTTGATACAAATATTACCAAGACCAAAGTTCCTAGGCAATAATTTGGAGAATTATCATGATTGACATATGTCACCAGTACAATCGAAAGAATTAATATAAAAATATACTAATTTGATGCATGAGAAATGTTGATTTACACTGTCTAAGAGACTTTCACTTTATCGAAATTGAGTCTATATTACTGTATTGTATCCTATTATAAATAAATTTTCCTTCTAAATAGAACTTATTTTGTTGAAACTTGGGACTTTTTCGTAAATTTCGTAAATGTCACTCACATTTCAAGATAACATAGGCTATATGTCAAAATGAGGAGTACCAGCAATCGTGTGTCGATGGATAAAAGCTAGCCTAGAAAGAAGGATGATATGCACCACTTTAGGAGCTGCTACGTTACAGGTAAGAGCATAGAAGAGATGCCCAGAAGAAGGTCATTGCTATGGGCAACCCTAACAGACGATCTCCTTAGGAAGCTATCTGAAGAAGGCATATATTGCCTGGAATATGCTGACGATCTGGTGATAGTCACAAAAGGGAAATGTGCAGGCGTCATCTCGGAGCGCTTGCAAAGAGCCTTGAACATCGTCGGAAGATGATACGAATATGAGAACCTCTCGAAGAATGCCAAAAAAAAACACTGTCGTCGTATTCATAAGGAAAAGAGTGATGCGAGGTCTAAAACCACCAATACTCAATGAAGTGGAGATCCCTTTCGCCACGGAAGTCAAATACTTAAGTATGACTTTCGATCACAGGCTCACATATGGAACCTCCACATCCAAAACACAGCACATAAGGCCAGGATGGCCCTGGGAATCTTCAGAAGAATGTGCAGGGAAAACTGAGGGCTGAACCCAACAATGACACTGTGGTTAGTGAGACCCATGATAGCATACGATGTAGTGACATGGAGGACAAGAACAAAGCAATCGGGTACGGCTAGGCTATTAGGCGGCACACAAAGGCTGGCGTGCCTAAGTGTTGCAGGAGCCATGAAAACGACCCCAACTGCAGCACTTGAGGTCCTACTTGGACTCCCACCATTGCACATCTATATACAAAGAGAAGCTCGACTGATGACACACAGGCTAATGTAGGGGCAAACCCCAATCAACCAGTCACACGGCGCAGAATACTTGAAACTGTACAACGACGTGAAGGCAGATCCAATACTTGAAATGCCCGTGGATAACACAGTTCCGCAGTACAACTTTCAAAAAGATTTCAAAATCATCACAACAAGTAGAAAGGACTGGCAAAACGGCCCACCGGTAAAAGCGGAAGAAACTTGGCATACAGTAGGCTCAAAGACCCAAGAAGGAGTAGGAGCCAGTATATACGGAGACAGAGCAAAGACGAGAATCGCACTCAGCCTCGGACATAATGTCCAAAATAAAACCATTGGCGTTTTCTCCGACAAATAGGCGGCAATTGAAGCGCTTAGCTCATTTCAAGTCTTCTCAAAACTGGTGGGAAGCTGTCTGGGCGCACTCAAAGAGCTAAATACCCAAAATAAGGTCGCTCTAGCTGGGTACCCGGACATGAGGGTCACAAGGACAATGCGGAGGCCGATGTTCTAGCCCGTGAAGGCGCATATAAGGCTCTGCTTGGCCCAGAACCCTTCTGCGGGGTAGCGAAAGCATGTATAAAGACATCCATAAATTCATGGATGCAAGCCGAATCGATAAATTTGTGAAATAAGAAACCATCGCGCAGATTAACGGAAGACCTGCTAAACCACAACCGTCAGGTTGTAAGGGTAGTGGTGGGTCTACTAACGGGGCATAGCTGACTCAGGAAACATATGAACAACATGGGTCTGACAGAAGAAACGCAATGCAGGTTCTGTCAAGAAGAGGAAGAAACCGCACTGCATGTGCTCTGTGAATGCGAAGTGATAGCAAGGCTGAGACTCGCAAGATCCGGGGAAGAGAAACCAGAGTCTGCTCGATATATGAAGGGGTCAGTGTCAAGGCTATGGAGTCTCAACAAAGAGATCAAGCTAGACAATGAGCTCTAACAACTAAGGAGCATTACAATAGATCTGAAAAGGTGGCAGTGAATCAGGCCATGGGAGAGCTCCTCGACAATCTCATCTAATCTAGTATGTAACAATTAGTTTCACTCTCAGATTGCCATTATCATTCCACCATTTACTGAAGCAGTTCTTAAAACGTGAAAACACTCTATGGGAAATATATCATGAGTATAGTATGAGTTCATGTAATTTCTGTCAACTAACAAGCTAATAAAAGTACATTTTCACCTTCAACACACATCTTCACTGAATAAAAGTGAACTGGTGAACGTATACCCATTTGTTTGAAACCCCAAAAGCATTAAGTCATCTACCTTCTTTCGAAAGAAGACTCAGTGCAAAAAAATGGTTTTTGTCCTAATTTGGTCAGTCGTACTCCTGTTAAAAATTACCATAAACTTGAGTACTGGAATGAAGTTCTTTCTTTGTTTCATCAGAAAGGTAAAAGACTCGTGAAGTTCAAATGAACAACCGCCTGTCAACGAAACCACTTACAATGAGAATGATAGATTCAACATTGAAAATCATCTATACTGGAAGAAATTCAAGTTTTCAGAGGAGTAACATCTGTGCTTTCTAACACCAAAAACTTTGTTAGAAGTCTCAGCATTCCAGATCTCAAAAGACCAGAGTCACGAGGCGATGAGTTTTGGACTTCCTTATTGTGCATAATCTAGTGTAAATGACCATATACTTATTGGAGTTATATAGTTGAAAGACATGAAAATATCTCACAACATTCCTTTCAGGAATATCCGTAACCTAAGTAGAAATAAAACTATGAACCGGTCAGAATTAATCATACCAAGATTGATTATATCGTTCCATTTCTACGCTTTTGAACATGAGCCAACAGATATAATTGAATTCATGTGGGCAGAAATTACGAATGGATTGAATTACTTCAAGATTTTTTGTAAATCAAAAGTAACAACGGAATCCGACGTGTTATTGCAACTGTTAATTTGATATATATCTCATTTATTATTTTTATTCTCTCAACAGAAAACCAAATACCGGAATGTGTGGTTTTTCTAACCTTTATAATTGTTATTAGATATGAAATACGACTAAATTGAGAGAGACTCTGGAAAAAATTATCATCTAAATCAAAAAAGCATTATTCATTAGTCCACCCCAATACCCCTAAAAGTATCCCCACAACTTTTCTTCACACTGTTTCAAAATCTTCTCTCCTTTACGAATATATGAGGGATCAAACATTTTTTCCTCTGGATTTTCCCTGAACAAAAATTCCTCAAGAAAGTCGACAGGATCAAACCTCGATCAAACTTTTAGATAGTGTAGAAAATATATATTTCATCAAATAGAAACATTGAGGTTCACTTTGAGCAATTAACATTTCCTCTTCTTCTTTTCGGAGCATTTCGAATGTTTCTGCCCGTTCATCCATTTATTCTTGGCGTTCCGCATTTTCTTCTAATAATCTCTCCCCAATTTAACCCCCAAGTAGCCGTCTTTGTTCCAGCTCCAATTTTTTAATTGTATCCGCATCTTCCGCAGGTGTTGGTATACCAAAAATGCCACAAACAAAATCGAATATACAATTCAAATCTCTTTCTTCTTGTGTCTCTTCATTAACCAAACTCACTAGGTATGGATGAATTCCAACTTCGTCGAAGAAGTTAAGAACACTTTTTTCTTCATTGTTGTTCTCTCGCAATTCCACCAATCTTCTCAGCATGTTTACCTCATCGTAGTGGGTATCCTGTATTAGTCTTTGAGGAAGCTTCATAACCTTTTCATAATGGAATTCATATGTCGCCTCTAAACTGATGACATAGCCAGGAATAATTTCATCGCAAGCATTACCTATCAGTGAACCTACTTGCTTGGCTTCTGTTCCATCCTCAACTGTACCACCGTCTCCTGGAACTTCCACACCAATTTTACCCCCATCTTCTTGATTTATTCTTTCGGCGGTCTGCCGGAATATCTCCTTTGCCTGTTCGATAGTTTTCGGAAATGCGTCTAAAACATATCCACCAGTTTGACACAACTCTGGCCAAAAATGATTCCATCAACCGCACAGC